TCCAGGTTGAGGCCATACGTCTTCAAGCAAGAGCTCAGGACACGAAGCTTGTTCCAGGATAGATTTAGATCAACCTTGAGAGAGAGAGAGTGCAAGGCCATCCTGAGCTGGAGATGGAAGTACGCCGGCCTGTTCCAGTACGTCTTTCTTGTCTCATCACTCGTATTAGCCAATGACGTCGCTGCTTGTGCCCTAGCACCACTGGCGTCGACGCATACGGTCTCATCTGAAACAATAAAATACCAGTTGAAGAGTAATCAATCATCGGGGCGGCATAGCCAGTTACTGGCAGCTGTGCACAAGATCAAGGTCAAGGTGTGTGTGTGTCAGGTCAAGTGTGTGTGTGTGTGTGCACGCCATATGCATGTGTGTGTGTGTGTGTGTGTTTGCACGTCGCATGCATTTGTGTACACGCCGCATGTACATGTGTGTGCGTGTGTGCACCATTGTACTCAAAGAAAAAGCAAATACTGTAAATAATGTATTCTGAATAATGATGCTCAATGCCTACCTATCTCTCTCAGCTCGGATGTTCTCCCAGGGCCGTAGCAGGCGGTCCGGCAGGTCCGGCAGCTGCCGGACCAATATTCGACCAAAAAAAGAAGAAGAAAAAAAGCGGGACCTCACAGATGTGAGCAGCTCAGGATGTCCACCCGGTACCATTGATGAGGATGTGTGCAATAAGTAGCATAGAGGTAGTACATAGTAGTGCCGGTAGTAGACCTACATAATACATGTACATATCATCACTTTCAGGAGTATGACCCTGCTGAAGGTCATGTGAACAGTCGTGCCAGTGAATGTTCCTACTCTGTACTTCCGGAAACGTGTTCGGATTCTTTTCTTCCTCCAATTCTTTCTAGATAGGATTTGTACCAAAGATATTCCATTGCAATATCCTTTCTCCTCCTCCAAAGGTCCATTTTGGTTCTTTTATCACATGCATTTAGATACGGTTGCTATGCCTTCATAGGCTTCAACAAGTTCTGTTTGGACGGGCACAACATGCTGATGCCCTTTTTCATGACTCATGCCGAACGTCCTTCTTCCTTTTCTCGCCCTATGTCACTCTGCATGGTCACGATTACATGCATGTACATGTACATGTTGTACATGTACCGGCATATGTATGAGTGTGGGCTCGGGGGGGGGGGGGGGGGGGGGGGCATCGAAGTCGGATCTTGCCGGACCAACCAAAATGGGGCTGCTATGGGCCTGTCTCCTCCTTTTCGTAAGTTCGCTAGCGGATGTTGACGACACCTCTCCAACCGTTACCCGCTTATAGACTTGTGCCCGGCCACGTTGACTCTGACGTACTGCAAGGGTTCCGTCGCACTGTCTTGCCTTGACCAAATGCCCAATCAACTGGTCAGTGGTATCGCCGTTCAGCTTGGATGGCAAGGAGGCCAACACTTGGGCAACCGTCGATGAGCGCGATACCGTGTTCAAGCGGGTGGTAAGCAGGAGGCTCGGGTGTGCTGGGACGCACGGTGGGGGGGGGGGGGGACTAGTTGTGTTGCACATGTACTCGTATTTGTCACTGACATTCCTACTGCTGTGGTTGCTGTCGTTCCTATCGCTGTTGTTGCAGCGGTGATGGTAGCGGTGGGTGCAGTAACGGTTGCTGTCGAAACAAGCTCGCTAGATTTCTGGTGTTTTGTGTCCCCAGTGACAGCTCCACTGATTTTATATCCTGCTTTCCGCTTCGGAGGTCTGCCTCCTTTCGATTTTGTAGCATAACGGGTGCGTACTGTGCACTTTGAACGTGTGTGTGTGTGCAACCCATGTTACAAGCTCGCCACACGGCCACCACCACAAGCCTCGCTGACCCGCTACAGAGTCTCTAATGCTGTGTACGGATAGTGACGTTTCACGCTCGCAACGGTCCTGAGCAGCCAGTTTATCTCTTAGAATCTGCATTGCTTGTCCATGGGTACGTTGGTGAATAAGCTCTTCACATCGAAAGTAGCCATCACGTGGCCCGTGCCTATGGCAGTGTCCGTTATTTTTTTGCGATGAATTCCTGAGAATTTGTCACGTGAGTCGGAGGAGTCTTGCCTGTTAGTCGGTCCGGATTATTTTTGCCAGGAAACGTGCTAAGCGGTGGAGTGGTGAACCAATAGCCGCTACTATGGGTCTGAGAGGGATGTTGTCCTTATGAACCTTAGGGCGACCGTAAAAGTGAGGACGCCGTGCACGTCCGTGGGTTGCAGAAAGGTTTCTGAGAACGAGATATTTCCTCTCTTCTCTCCATTGGGCGTAGGGCTTTATGTAGTTTTTCTACTAACCTATCCGTTGGATTTCGCGGGAGGAGGGAATACGTCGTACTGCCCTTCAAATGGTCTTGAATTTTGTTATAATCCGCTAAGTCCATCAGCACAACCGCTCGTCCCTCATCAGCTGGTAGTGTCTTTATGGTTAGAAGTTGCCGGAGGTCACGTAGTGCCGCTGTAGCTTGCCGTCTTGTTAGATTCTGGGAAGGTGTAACGGCGTTGTCAAGGGCTTCTTGGACCTTCTTGCAGGTGGCTATTTCCAGGCCACGGTGAGTTGGCCCACATCTCTGTTCTAGTGATTACTTCTTCCTTCGAACCTTTTTGGGTGGAAGAGCGAAATCCAAGCCCAGTTGCAAGAGGTCAGTTTGGTTCGTCGTGAGGTTGTGAGAGGAAAGGTTGAAGACATTCTGCTTGTTTGAAGTAGCGTCTGTAGCGTTGGTCGGTGAAGCAAGTAGTTTCTTAAGTTCCCGTTTGTGCAGTGTTGTGGCGTGTTGGAAGGAAGATGCACCGTGTGCTTCGATCCACTTCCATCCAACTGTGAATGTCTAACTGTTTTCCTCAAGCGTACTCCAGGCTTTGGCTGCTTCTTCTGTTGCTGGTTTTGCTGGACCAGTAGTTTAAACCGTAGTTTCTTTGTATGCTCTCATAGAAGTGTCTGGTGGACGCGTACCATTGAGGCTTTGACTTGCTCAGAGTCGTGTGGACTATTTCTTTTGAGATACTTCTGTGTCACCTTACTAGTCTTGCATTGGGTGAAAAACTCCAGCCTTGCAGTCCCGGAGCCAGCTCCTGGGGGTTGATACGGCCCCAGGTCGGCTACAAGACCGACTATTTCCACGTGCTCAATTTCAAAATCCTGGGAGCATACATCTCTACCTCTATGCATTATCTGTTTGTTTCAGCTGCACATTTCCTCCAGCAACAGAGATGACATCTATCACAGTAGATTTCACAGGACAAGAAGAACAGTTAAGGAGGTAGAGACTCCAGCGAGAAGTGTATGAGGATAGATTACTACTGGTACAGTTCCAGATAATCAAGTGCGCACTGAGAAGCCCATGGACGTGGAATTGGTGAAAACTGGTACGGCCATGGCCGCACCAGCCGTACCCGTGGCGCCGGCCCTGCCTTGCCAATGTTTTTTTGTAGAATGACCGTTGATTTGCCTTGCCAATGTTTTTTTGTAGAATGACCGTTGATTTATGCCAATGTTGCAATCCTCTTTGAGACTGGATCAGCAGTGTCCTGCGAATACTAAGAGGAGGATGGGTAGACATTTTTTTAAAACTGTATGGAGAGAAACATGTAATGCAGTAAAAAGGTACACAAGTAAAAGGAATAGCGCGAGCTCCAGTGTGGGAGCAAAACCATTCCTAAAAAAATCATCGCCGAAGTCGCTACCACTATTTCACAAGTATCCTGGATGTCAGTCCCTCTTAGAAAACCCTTGTTTGTCAGGGGAAAGGAAGTCTAGTCCTTAACTTAGGTTGGTTGAGCTTCGCCTGCTGTCGTGGCAAAGGATAGCATGGTATGGCAGGCACAAGAAATAGCTGTCAAATGCCCAGAGAGTCGTTACTCAAGCAGTGCACTTGACCTCGGGGCACTGAAATCACGTCACTGCTCGCGAATTGTCGTTACCCAGACACAGTCGTTATCCAAAGTTAAATTGCACAGTTCGGCGGGACTTTGCTCTGGGCATGGAAAATCTGTCGTTACCAGCGAATTGTCATTATTGCCGCCGTTGTTACTCACGAAGTTCAATGTATCTGTGGACATACATGTATTCACACAATTATTATTATTATTATTTGTTTTTCAGCGGAAGCTCAACAGTGCAGCTGCACAAATATGAAGAGGCCGATGGGACCAAGAAAATAAAAAAAATAAAAATAAACAAATAAAAAAAAGTGTTTGCACACCACTCCCCTTATTCATGGCTCACACATGACGGGTTTACGTGGCTCTAGTAAAAAAAAGAAGAAGAAAAGGAGAAAAAAAAGAAACCCCCACCACCCAACTCGTAGGGTTTACCGGGTGTTAGCGGCCGTCGTGAGTTCCCTTCGGGCAACGGACACACAATAAAGTACTCTTTTCTTTCTTTTTTACCCAACTCACGCAATCATTTTAATATTCACCATATCAAACCGGATCATTCATTCGCGCCATGATCCAAGCTTGCAGCCTAAATCAATCACATCTTCTGAAAATCTTACTCAAGTTGCTGTCTGGTGATCGGTTAAAACCGTGAAACTCGAGAACTATGGCAGAAACGTTTTTGATTCCTTTCAAGTGTGCATACAGTCAACTTCGCTAATAACGACTGCGGATATAACGACAATTCGCGAATAATGACAGAATGTCCATGCCCAGAGCAAAGTCCCATTCAACTGTAACACATATAATGAGACTTCGCGAATAAAGACACTTCGCGAATAAGGACACTTTTTTGATGCCCCGCCGAGTGTCGTTATAACGCCCACGCCATGTACATAACCCCCCTGTGTGCTCCCCAACGCATTCACGCTGCACAACTTTTACTTTCCACAACTTTCACTTTAGCTCATACGTGTACATGCACACCCTTCAAAGTGGTGAACCCCTTGATAGGCGACAAGCCTCTGGGTCATCCTAATAAAGATATTATTATATTATAACTTATAAGCAAAGTTGACTGTACATGTATTTACATCTGCTTTTCTGTGACTGTGTGTGTGTGTGTTTGCTTAGCTGCTGTTTAATGAGCTTGATGCCGAGAAAGCATCCAAGGAGACCAAGCGGCAGGCAGCCATTCGGAAGCGCGACAAGCGGAAGAAGCGCAAACGCGAGCAACAGGAAGAGGAGGCTCGCAAGGAGCTGGAGGCCAAGGAACAGGAGGAAGCTAGTCAGCAGGAAGCCGTCATCGAGAGGACGGTGGCCGCCACCACTCTTCGTTTGACAGCCAGCCCGGAAAGCATCCTATCGGCGCTGAAGTTCCTGACAGCGACGCCATCAGCGCCCACGACCACCACGATATCGACCAGCAGCTCCTCCTCACGACAGGCGAGCAGCACTCGCGAACGGCGCAATCTCGGCGTTGATGATGTTGTTGCAGCTGCCGCTGCAGGTGTTAGCGTCATTAGCCCCGCGCGAAAAGCTAGCGTACCGGCAGCAGAACGCGACCGAACAAGCCAGCAATCGAGCACCGACTTATCCGCTAGCGACGACGATCGCAACCGGAAGAATAGACGGCGGCGCAAAGTCAAGACTCCGACCACCACCGCTCTTACTGGTCCGTTCTCGGCCATAGCGTTAGCAGCAAAACCCCTGCAGCTCACAGCCCTCTTGTCGAGCACGCAGGCCTCGTCGAAATCGTCCTCGTCGTCCGTGACCGGGGATTCCGCACGTCACCACGGCAACGCAAGCAGCCAGCCCTGGCCGCCCCGGTCCGACACGCCCGGTGAAGCGCGCAGCAAGACTGGGACCAAATCGTCATCCAGTGTCATCGCTGCTGCGTCTGCCGGAGCAGCAGCTAGACCTGGCAGTAGCGGTAGTGCCAGCTCCTCATCTTTCGACGGGAGCGGTAGTAGTGGGGAAACCACGACGACGACTAGTGTGATCAATGTAGAAGACGTCCGGGTGAAAGCAGCCGCTATGTCTCTGTCGGCGCAGCGCTCCGCACGCACCCCGCCGCGCGCTCCGAACCCGCGCGCTCGCACCACCGCCGAGACGTCCCATCAGCAGTCGACGGCCCAGAGCAATGCGTCGCGCCTCAGCTCGGGGAGCGATACGGCCGTCGTGTACAGCAGTCGCTCCTCTGCTTCGTCAAGTCGCGCCGGTGTTGCATCCACGGCTGGAGCTCAGGGTAGCTCCGGCTCGGCAAGCACTGCAGGCGCGTCGTCATCGCTAGCGGCCGCGACCAGTGCCGTCAGCTCAGTGCGCTCTTCCGCTGGCGTTAGCACATCATCCCAGGTGGGTGTGAGTATGTGTGTGGGCGTGTGCAGCGTCCACGCAGTGAACACTCAACGTGAAACGTGTTCAGTCTTTTTAAATACAGTAAAACCAGTACTAGCACCTCATTGCCCCCGCTCGTTCCTCATTCTTCATTCCATTTGGCCTAAGCGTTGACATCGCCAAGCAAGCTTGGCGATGTCAACACGAAAAGGCTGATAATAATAATAATACGAAGTCTGAAGAAAACGTTGAACGGTCTCTGCTTGGATGACGACTACACCATAGCTCAGTGGTTAGAGCATCGCTGGCTACAAGCGAGGGTCCCTGGTTCGAGTCCTGGTGGTGACAGTCAATTTTTTCTTCAGACTTTTCCCGTTTGTCTCTTTCCCTCAAAACCAGCTAATAATAATAATAATAATAATAGTAACTGGTTTGAGGGAAAGAGACAAACGGGAAAAGTCTGAAGAAAAAATTGACTGTCACCACCAGGACTCGAACCAGGGACCCTCGCTTGTAGCTAGCGATGCTCTAACCACTGAGCTATGGTGTAGTCGTCATCCCAGCAGAGGTCGTTCAACATTTTCTTCAGACTTCGTAACTCACACTTCCTGTGAATCCACACAGGCGGGTGGGACGCAGCCCTCACTGTAACCCACACACTTCACGTACAAACTAGAGTGCTGAGGCTGGGAAAAAGGGAAAATCCCTTCTCAGTGCTGCGGTGAGAGTTGCACAACTTACGTAACGGTAACGTTAGTTTATCGGTAGTGTGAATGTTCATCACGGTTTATCGCCATTCACGGTTTGACGGGATTCACGGTAGTCTGGACGCACCGTAAGTGGGTATAGGTTTGCAGCGGTTCCTGAACTTTGTGTCATCCGCGTCTGTGTGTGCCCGTGCGTGCCCGCTTGTGCCTGTGTGTGCATGCGTTCACCTTTTTCTCTCACCCACCCACGCACGCACACTTGTACACACACACACGCACACACACACACTTGTACACACGTACACACACGTACACAGAGTGTTGCCGAGTCGTTGTCCGGAGAGAATTCAGCTCGAGACGTAGGTCCTGCTGCGTACATGGAGGATGACCTGGACTGGTTTGAATCCTCCACGTCAACTTCGGTGAGAACTCTCTAAGCTTTATCAACCGATACTGTAGGGCTTAATATGGCTGGACTTTTAACTTAGATCTGCACTCGTCCCTCTTTAATCCAACACTTTAAAAACCAGCACCCCCTATGAAGATGCATAATTTCCAGCAACCAGAGTATCCTGTTCATGCACAGTGCAGCAGTAAATCAGATCTTCTAATCCAGCACCCTCCCTAATCCAGCACCCTCCCTAATCCAGCACCCTCCCTAATCCAGCACCCTCCCTAATCCAGCACCCTCCCTAATCCAGCACCCTCCCTAATCCAGCACCCTCCCTAATCCAGCACCCTCCCTAATCCAGCACCCTCCCTAATCCAGCACCCTCCCTAATCCAGCACCCTCCCTAATCCAGCACCCTCCCTAATCCAGCACCCTCCCTAATCCAGCACCCTCCCTAATCCAGCACCCTCCCTAACCCAGCACCCTCCCTAATCCAGCACCCTCCCTAATCCAGCACCCTCCCTAATACAGCACCCTCCCTAATCCAGCACCCTCCCTAATCCAGCAGAATTCCTGTAGCACACCTGGTGCCGTATTGTAGAGGGACCACTGTGAAATGAAAGTACAGTTCACGTTATACTTGCTCAGCCTGAAATTTCCGCATCTGCAGGAGTGTCACTAACGCCAAGGATCAACGTGTGAAGCAACAAGAAACCTGTCAAAAGTGTTTGGTTATATTGGGTGCCTCGTTTTGTTGGACTAGTGTCTGCGTCTGCGTGTGTGGCAAGATCAAGTTATGTTGCCCCCCACGCTGTCAGGGGGTACCCTCCACGCTGTCAGGGGGGTACCCTCCACGCTGTCAGGGGGTACCCTCCACGCTGTCAGGGGGTACCCCCCCCCACGCTGTCAGGGGTACCCTACACGCTGTCAGGGGGGTACCCTCCACGCTGTCAGGGGGTACCCTCCACACTGTCAGGGAGTACCCTCCAGGCTGTCAGGGGGTTCCCTCCACGCTGTCAGGGGGTACCCTCCAGGCTGTCAGGGGGTACCCTCCAGGCTGTCAGGGGGTACCCTCCACGCTGTCAGGGGGTACCCTCCACACTGTCAGGGGGTACCCTCCAGGCTGTCAGGGGGCACCCTCCACGCTGTCAGGGGGGTACCCTCCACGCTGTCAGGGGGTACCCTCCACGCTGTCAGGGGGTACCCTCCACGCTGTCAGGGGGTACCCTCCACGCTGTCAGGGGGTACCCTCCACGCTGTCAGGGGGTACCCTCCACGCTGTCAGGGGGTACCCTCCACGCTGTCAGGGGGGTACCCTCCAGGCTGTCAGGGGGTACCCTCCACGCTGTCAGGGGGGGTACCCGCCACGCTGTCAGGGGGTACCCTCCACGCTGTCAGGGGGTACCCTCCACGCTGTCAGGGGTACCCTCCACGCTGTCAGGGGGTACCCTCCACGCTGTCAGGGGGTACCCTCCACGCTGTCAGGGGGTACCCTCCACGCTGTCAGGGGGTACCCTACACGCTGTCAGGGGGTACCCTCCACGCTGTCAGGGGGTACCCTCCACGCTGTCAACCGGGGGGGGGGTAGTATGATGGTTGAGTTGCACGTTCATTGTTGGAGCTGTCTGTGGCTGGATATATGTATTCTGGCTGTATGCCTTTCGTATAAGTAGGGACTGAGATCTAATTCAGGTCTCTAGTGAGGTTCCATACTGTAATGTTTGTCCTAGTCTCAGTACCATTGTCCTTCTTTATTATTTTCCAGCTTGGGAATGTGAACTTTAGTAGAAAAAAAGAAAAAAAGAGAAGCATAACTTAGAAGGACGTCCATGTTGTATGCAGTCCAGCAGGAGAAGGATTGAGTGTGGAATAAGTTACACTGTGAGCGCCCACACAGTAGGCATTGGCGGATTCTGCTCGAAAACGTGGCAGATTCTGCTCGAAAAGGTGGCAGATTCTGCTCGAAAAGGTGGCAGATTCTGCTCGAAAAGGTGGCAGATTCTGCTCGAAAAGGTGGCAGATTCTGCTCGAAAAGGTGGCAGATTCTGCTCGAAAAGGTGGCAGATTCTGCTCGAAAAGCAGTGAAATTGGCAGAACCATACAAACCTTATGGCGGGCAATTCCTCGGATTCTGCTCCATTTCTTTATCCACATACCAAACATGCATGAAACTTACCAGAAAAGGTACCGAATTCTGTCAATTTTTCTGCCGGCAGAATCCGCCGGGCCCTACCACACAGTGGTTGTCATCCCGGGAGTATCCTTACAGTGAAGAGTTGCCCAGCACCTCTTGGCCCAACTTGCAACTTACATGTACGAGTAAATGCAAGAGTTCATAACCCCACAGGGAGTTATGGACTCTTTGTAAATGTGTTGAAAACTCAACTTCTGCCATAATCTCGAATAATCCCATACGTAAAGCAACAGGAGACGGAACAGGTAGGTGGAACGACGACATTTATAGGGATAGACGAGAGAGGAAACGAAAGGCTGCATTGTGACGGCGAGAGAGAGAGGGCGCATGAGAGAGAGAGAGAGAGAGAGAGAGAGTGTGTGTGTGTGTGTGTGCGTGTGCGTGTGAGAGGGAGGGAGGGAGGGAGGGAGAGAGCTTGAAGGGCCTGGGTAGCTATGGCAATTATGGCCGCGCAAGTAGCTACACAGACCAACGGAACAAAAGGTATGTGAGGGTAAGTACGGAGTACCCACAGGCCAGCAGGAGGAGGTAGCAGGAGGCAATGCACGGGAGAAGGTACCTAACATACCTCCCCTGCATGAAAAAAAACAACCACTGCCTCGCGACAAATAATAAGATGATGAGGAGATAAAGAAAAAAATGACTGAGGAAGAAGAAAACAAAACACACACACATGCACACACACACACACAACACACACACACACACACACACACACACACACACACACACACACACACACACACACACACACACACACACACACACATGCATGCACAACTCACCAAAGTGTAGAAACAGTGCACATTATTATTTCTAAGTCGAAAACAACCCGTCGCACATTCACTTAATATGTAGAATGCATGGCCAGGTACGCCCTCAAAAATTCGCAAAGCGTAGAAACTAGTCCGAATTATGTAGTTAGAGATATACAAACACTTAGACAGGACTCAGATGGAGAGCCAAGGATTAAAATTGGAAAAAGAGAAGGACCAAAAGTTTACTAGACATGATGCAGCTAAGCATCAGGTCGTTGAATGTCACTATCACATCAGTCAGTACGAACTTAAAAACTTCCTCAGCCTACTCAAGCTCAACTGGTGAGGGGTGAATTCCCCGAAACACTATGTATTGAGCAGGGAGTGGTGCGTTCTTGCAGGTTTGCCGAGGGGAAGGTGCGACGTACTCCTCGTGTGCTCCGGATGGCAGTCGTGAGTCAGTCAAGTGTCAAGTTCGGCAAGAATCGTGTGTTCCTAGTTGGAACAATCAACTTCATGACATCAGTCAGTGTTGTGCTAATTGTTGCACACTCTGACTCACCGGTATCTTGCTTGTATTTGTCAGTGTTGGACACAAACAACGAAACCTTGTAAGCTTTTGGTTCTTCTCTTTAACACTTAGACACTTCTATTTAGAGAAACCACGGACCTCAAGAACAGCATCTGCTTGTTGGAGGTGGCTGCAGTCGCAGCTGTGGTGGTGAAACTGGAGTAACTGCCGACCTGATGTCTTGGCGTCAGCGACACTTCAGTGCACCAAAAAGTGGGGAGGAGTAGGCACAAGGGAGGGGGGAGGGGGAGTACATTTGTACAGAGGGTGAAAAATGGGAGAAAAAATGATGATACATATAAGAGAGCAAAATGGGGAACCAGGGTGAACGTGGAGATGGTGTTCAGGGAGGGGGTTCAGGGGCAGCTGTGGCTGAGTGCCAGTCTCGACTTCCTTGAATGCCTGCATTCCCTTCTGCATTGGAAGATCGCGACGCAGGGCAGATGGGAGACGATTCCAGTCTTGGATCGTTGCGTGGGGGAATGATCGGAGAGCTCTATTGCAGGCTCGGGCAGGCAGTGTTGGTGCTGGTGCCGCTCCTCTTGCTGGTGGCGAGTGGAGTGCCGGTGCTGGTTAGCAACTGCCCTCGGCGGTGTCGTGGTGGTCAGGATTGGGGGACTCTCAATCCAATGCAGCTTGTACAGGCATGTTAGTGCTGCGACTTGACGCCGAACAGTGAGGCTTGGGAGGTACGACCCCGGGCCGATGAGCTTTAGGGCTTGGTGCTGTACCTGGTCCGGCTGGTTCAGAGTAGACTGGGACGCACCCAGCCCCAGCCATGAAATAATTGGTCAGTACTCTAGTACTCTAATTTCAGAAATTTTCGGTGCTCAATATTTTCGGTATGAGGGCAACAGGCCAGGTTAGGTGAACAGAAATTTTCGGTACAGAGAAGCAGTTCCCTATTGGATTATGTGTGTTAGTGTTTGTTCGGTGTATTGAAATTTTAGGTATGAAACAGACGCACCGAAAGTACCGAAAATAAAAGTACACCGAAAATTTGTGAAATTACAGTATATGATTGTACTGGGCGGACGAAGCCACGGTACACGGCATACTTGGCTTTGTTGTCGAGGATTGGCAGAGCCTTCCTCATGAAGCCAAGACGTTGGTGACCACGGACTGCAACTTGTCGAACCTGGGAGCGGAAGGAGAGGCTCCGATCGAAGAGCACTCCAAGCAACTTCAGCTCCTCCACTTGCTCTATGGCCACCTCATTGAAAGTGGCTGGAGGAGTCGGCCAGGATTGACGGTGAAGAGAAATCGTCAAGACTTGGGACTTTGTCGGCTCGAATGTGATCCAGGCTTCCAGCTCTGGTCCCATTCTGCGAGGGCATCCACAGCAGTCTGGAGCTGCGCTAGGCCAACTGGGAGAGCGGTCAGGGACGAGATGTACTGATATAGCATAGTGCCGTCTGTATGTATGGTGAGCTGGGTGGAATCCGAATTCCCCTTTGTCCAGCCTCGCTCCCAAAGCCATCTCCTAGGTATCCGCTTCCGCCCTGCTG